AGGTGTCCCTGCCCATGCAGGGGGTGGGACTGGATGATCTTGAAGGTCCCTTCCAACCCAAACCAGCCTGGGATTCCATGAGTTTGATCACAAACGTGAGTTTAGTGCTAGAGAAGCAGTACTTGATGATGGAGCACTATTATATCTTGGCTGTGTGACTGTTCTAGTGGCATTTATTACCCATTTTTGGCCTAACCTAGGCTTGATTTCTAATTCAGATAAGGACAAAATGTTTCTGAAGTTAGAATCTCTATAAAAATACCTGGGCATCCCCTTCTAGTAATCCTTGTCTAGATTTTCTAGGTGTTCTCTGCACTAGGAGCAGCCTTTGCCCTCTTGGCACAGCGTGGCAAGTTCTGGTCTCTGCTTTGGGTCCTGAAGCTAATGCTAAAGGTCTGCAATTTCCAGGGCCTTCTGGGTTGATTGCCTCAGTATTTTTTGGCAATGTGAATGCCCTTCAGCAGCTTGCAGGGTTGAATCCACCCCTTCCCTCCTAAAAAGGACTTTTAGTGTGTGTGTGCCTATTTATTCAATTTATTAAATTATCCTGAACAGGTTTTTTTGTGTTGTCAGAACAAGGTGACTAAAATGCTCTGATTTGGTGCCTCAGAGCTAATAATTAGCAGTGCCCAAACTGGTGCCTTCTCTGTGTTTCTTCCAAACTGAAGGTGGTTTTATTTAGTGGATAAGCTGAATTCTTTAAAGATATTTGCAGGGCAACCATCATTTAAAAACATATGGGATGTTATCCTGGTTGGAGCCTGGTTTATTGCCAGCCCAGTGCTAAACCATGGCAGAGGTTGCCACGTGCCCCTGGTGGTAGCAGCTGTTGAGCCAAAGGTTTTGAGTCCAGGACTCAGGAGGGTGCTGCCTGCTCTGCAAGCCCATGGACCTGAAGCAGTTCAGCTCTGCTGCATCTCCAGGACAAAAGGACTACTTGTCCCTTCAGTCTGGTTTCTAAAGACTTTTTGTAGTCATTGCACCCAATTCTTGCCACCACCAGGCTAGAAGCAGGGCACAGACTTGCAAATAAATACTGGTTTTCTTCACCTCTTTGCAGAGATGGCTCAAGAAGAGATGGAAGTTGATCTGCAGCCAGTGGATGGTTACTCTGTGGCGATGCTGAGGACCCTCCCTGCAGAGCCCTCGGGTCACCCCGCCCTGTCTTCCCACCCTCTGCTGCTCTGGGGAGGAGGAGGCAGCCTTCCAGCTCTTCCTGCTGCTGTTGTCATTCCAAGTGCTGGTGCCACCAGGGAAGTATCTGCTGAGCCTGACCCTCCGCGGAGTCCTGCCCCAGCTCCCATGGGATTGCAGAGGCTGTTTGGCCAGCCCCGGCCCTCCCTGCAGGTCCCGCAGCGTCCCCGCGTCCAGAGAACTCGAAGGCAGCAGAGGCTCGGAGGTTCCCAGGGGACAGTCAGAGCCAGGTAAACCAGGAATGAACTGGGAGCTGCACTGCACTCTTACTGACTCTGGTGGCAGTGTGAGGCTGCCGTGCTCCCTGCTGGACAGAGCCCAGCTCAGTGTCACGGTTACCACTCTGGCTGGAAAAGACCTTCAAGATCATTGAGTCCAACCACTACCCTAACTCTGCCACATCCACCACTAAACCCTGCCCTCTGGCACCACATCTGTCTGGTTTAGATGTCTCCAGAGATGGTGTCTCAACCACCTCCTCAGACAGTCTGGATCACCAAGTCTTAACTCCTGCCCCAGAACAGGACAACCCCAAAGCTGACACCAGCTCCATCCAGGGGAGTGGCTGTGGCCAAATTCTGGGCAGCTCACGTATTGTTTAAGCTCAATAATGGCACACTGCTTGCTGATCTCTTCTGGTAGGATCTTTGCTCCTGTGAAGTGAATCCCCCCCTGTTTCTTAGGTTGGCAGTGGTGCTGTTTGCTGACTTCTGAGACCTGCTATGATTCCCATCCTGCTTCCAGAGCTTCAGCTTGCTCTGTTCCCTCTGCTCTGCCAGGTTCCTGTTGGTGCTTCTGGCAGTTTCAGCCAGCATTTAGCTCAGTGAAGCTTCAGCTCTGTTTTGCATTTCACCTTTGATTTGAGGATTGCCTGATTAGGTTTTCTGGTGACAATTGTTATAGAAACTTTCACAACCATTTTTCTATAGTGTTTTTGTTTGTTTTTGCTACCTTCAGGCAGAGAAAGTAACAATTTTGTATTTAATATAATTTGTGATGGGTTTAAAGGATGGTGAGCGGGACTGCTCTCCAGCCAGAAAGAAATCCCCATCTCTGGTTTGTTTGGTTTTTGTCTTATTTTGTAGCTTTTGTAAATGCCAAGGGTGAAATTCTAATTAACTGAAGCATTGCCTTTCAATTCATCAAGACCAAGAGCTCCTCTTCTCTCAGATGATTAAACAAACTGTATTGTTTGCCTTTGGGTTGTCTATGAAGGTCACTGGAGTTCTCTGGGCTGGAAGGCAACCTGACAAACTTCTGCATTGAATCTGAAATATAATAGAGATGATAGCTGAACTGATGGGGAGGGAGAGGGGAGGATGTTTCTATCCAGTAGAAAAAGGAGGGAAGGTAGAAAGGCTGGACACAATGTGGTTGATGGAATGAGGCTGATCCAGGCCTTGTGCATCTGCTGGCTTTGGGGACCAGGCCTGAGTTAGGGTTGGAGCTACCAATTAGGAGTGTCTTGGACTGTTAGTGAATCATCATAGAATCCCAGGCTGGTTTGGGTTGGAAGGGACCTTATGGATCATCTAGATCCAACCCCCTGCATGAGCAGGGTCCAACCCCACCACCACCTCACCCCAAAAGAAGGCTGTATCATTGTTGTAAGGAGGAGATTTTCTTTGAGCTGAGCAGATGATGACATGCTGATTGTTCAGAAAGCAGGTGGTAACAGAGGATGGCCCCTCTTACCAGAGAAGGTCTGTCTTGGTAACTCTTAACACCTTCCTGTTGCAGTCAGCCTAGGAGTTTTAACACGAACAGTGTGGAGAAACACACTGAGTCTTTAGTTTCCCTGAAATAACTTGTGATTTTTATTTCTTTCCTGGACTCAGGGCAGCATTGGACAACTACTTTCACCTGAGCAGAACCCAGGAGCCAACCACAGGACCAGCTCCACATCTGGAGCCCTCCCATGGTGTGCAAGACAGCCAGGAGCACAGCTCAGGTGAAACAGTAGAAGTCAGTGACTCTGACAGCAGCACTTCTGAGGAGGAGGAGGATGTGGTGGAGGCTGCAGCACCACTGATACCATCAGCCCAGGAGACACCTCCAGCAGCCAGCTCAGAAGGTTTGTGCTGGATGGGAACTGTGTAAAGATTTATTTCAGAAACTCATTTTGCTGCATCCAGCAGGGAAATCCTGTCGAGCCTCACACCAGATGGTGCTGAAAGATCATTGTGCACACAGCTGAGGGGAGCAAGTTGCTCCCACAAGGCTTGCTGGCAAGCAGGTCCTAAGAGCAGGAGCAGCAATGGGTGATTGCTGCTGTATTGTTAAATACAATCTTTTTGGTTTTGCAGGCTGCTCCTTGTAAATAGTCCTGGAAATGTTGAGAATAACTTCAAGTTTAGAGATGAGTCCTTAGAACACTTCCTCTGTTGTATGTCATCAAGGAGTATTATTGAAGACTTCCAGTCACACCTCTGGAGCTCAGCAGTGCTTCCAGTTTGCAGAAAAGGATCCATTTCAGTGTTTTTGAACTATCTGTGGTTCCAGTCTGCTTCAGCTTAGAGTTGTCATTCCTGTGACACTTGGCTGAGGAGCTGGAGATGCTTAGGACAGTGGGATTTTTAGTTGTCTCTTTCCTTCCTTGGCCTTTGCTGGCTCACAGTCCTTTATCCAGCCTCATGTTCACAGGTTGTTGTCATGTGGGTTGTGATGAACATATGCAGTTGATGTAAGAGTGGCAAATTATGAACTTCCTAGTCCAGGTTAGTGATGCCCAGAGAGTGTGAGAAAAAGGTTTTCCTTTTTACTTCAGCCTCTAAGGAATGTCCTTATGCTTCACTCTCTGCCCATAGCTTTGTTTTGGCTTGGCCAGCCCACCTTGACACCTTTTTCTGAGGGTGCCTCTTTGAGGTGCCTTCTCAACAGATCCATTCTGCTTGCTCTGAGCTAGTCTGACACGTGTCAGGAGCTCAAGCTGTTAAGTGCTGTCTAATGTTGTGTGAGCATATGTTCTCTGGTGCATTTTCTGGAATTCCCTTGGTTTTTTGTTTGTTTTTTTTCTTTTATAAGCCCAGAGGCTGAAAACTTTATTGACCTTATCCAGGGTTAGGTGGTACCTCTCTACTGGAGTGAGAATATCTGCCTGGAGTACTAAATTTGATTCATAACCCTTCTGTTGCATCAGGAGATGGGGAGACAGTGATTTCTGCTCCTGTAATCCAAATGTAGCATTTCTGTGCCCATGCTTCACCAGCAGGGCTGACAGGGGCCCACCACAAAACATATGGCCCAGCAGAATGGGTAGTTCAGGTAACTACCAGCTGGAAAGCTGCTGAAGTCAGGGGGAGGGGACAGAACACATGGGAAATTCTTTCTTGGCAGATGAAATATGCATGCTCAGATCCCTTGGCAAGACAACTTCTTCATAGTGGTGTCTTTCTCCTGGCATCATGATGCAGGGTTATATCCTTAAATCAGCCAGCTTAAGCCTTGTACACAGATGTGTTTGTTGCCAGCATGTCAGAAAGTCCTGATCACAATTGTTGTGTTTTGAAGACCTCTCCTTTCTCACTGAAGATGCTACAATCCTGCTGCTTTCTGTCCAGGAAAGCATTCACCACTGGTGAGGAGCAGGGTTTGCACACACACAGTGACCTCCAGCACCTTGATCTGAAGCTCTGTGTGTGACCTGTGCTGCTGTTGCACTGCTGGTCTTGTTCCTGATGGTTTTAGATCAAGTCAGGAGAGTTTCTCCCCCATTATGTACCAGTTAATTTAAGCAATGCTCTCTCTAGATTCCAGTCAGGTCCAAGCCGAGCCACCTCAAGCTTTGTCTCAAGCTTCTGCAGAACATGGAAGTCATGAAGCTGAAGAAGCTCAGGTCCAACCAAAGCAGGTAAGACGACCTAAATGCTTTTGCAGACAGATGAATGATGGTAAATGCTGCTTTTGTCTCAAGTTATTTCTTTATGTTTTTAATCCCAGAGGACTCCAGTGAGGCAAGTGGAACCCTCAGTTCCCGCTGTGCCAGCAGATGAGGAGGAAGGGGACACCTGTGCCATCTGCTTTGAGCAGTGGACCAACGCTGGGGCCCACCGGCTGTCAGCACTGCGGTGTGGGCACCTCTTTGGGTACACCTGCATTGACAGGTGGCTCAAGGGACAGGCAGGGAAGTGCCCCCAGGTAAAAGGGACATTTCCATGTACTGGGAAGCACTTTACTCTGGGGTGACCTCTGCTGCAGGCCTGAGCGCTGCAGCTGGTACAGCTGACGCAGAGTCTTGCATCTGGGGAAGAGCAACCCCATGGAGCAGTACAGGTTGGGGGCTGACCTGCTGGAGGGCAGTGTAGGAGAAAGGGACCTGGGGGTCCTGGTGGACAGGAGGATGACCATGAGCCAGCAATGTGCCCTTGTGGCCAAGAAGGCCAGTGGCCTCCTGGAGTGGGTTAGAAAGGGGGAGGTTAGTAGGTCAAGGGAAGTTCTCCTGCCCCTCTATTCTGCCTTGGTGAGGCCACATCTGGAATATTGTGTCCAGTTCTGGGCCCCTCAGTTCAAGAAGGACATGGAACTGCTTGAAAGACCCCAGGGCAGAGCCACAAAGATGATGAAGGAAAGGCTGAGGGAGCTGGGTCTCTTGAGCTTGGAGAAGAGGAGACTGAGGGGTGACTTCATCAATGTTTACAAATAAGTTAAGGGTGAGTGTCAGGAGGACAGAGCCAGGCTTTGTTCAGTGATGTCCAGTGATAGGACAAGGTGCAATGGGTGCAAACTGGAGCACAGGAGGTTCCACATAAACATCAGAAAAAACTTCTTTCCTGTGAGAGTGACAGAGCCCTGGGACAGGCTGCCCAGAGAGGCTCTGGAGACATTCAAATCCACCTGGACATGTTCTTGTGTGATGTGCTCTGGGTCACCCTGCTCTGGCAGGGGGGTTGGACTAGATGATCTTTCCAGGTCCCTTCCCACCCCTAAGATTCTGTGATTCTGTGCTTGCTGTGTTGAGAACCCACCTGTGCCTGCTGTCAGAAAGAACAAAAATCACCATTATTTTGATATAACTAGGCCAGAAAGTACTAGCACTGCTGGAAAGGGAGGATTCTGGCTTGGGTTTTCTCCCTGAAGTAGAGCATTTGTGAGTAGCAGCTCAGAAGTTTGAGAGTTCAAGTGTTAAATCTGTAATTGCTTTCACCACATGGTGGTCCTGGAGTGTGGGAATGGCAGGCAGATTCCTAGAAGGACTTAATTAAGCATTAAAAATGTTATTGGACAAGAAATGTGTTTGAGAACTGTTCTCAGTTGGTTAATCTTCTGTTTTGAACTTCATCTGCTTTTGCAGCCTTCAAGGGGACCAGGAAGTTCAGGTATCTTGCAGAGAAAAACAAACAAGCTGCATCTTCTAATGTCTGTTTCCAAGAGGCAGAGCAGCTTTTTAAGGTGTTCTTTTCAGCTCTTTCCACAGTCAACACTGATCCCTTTCAATTAGACCTACACTTCTCTTTGATCTTCTTCCATTCCTTCTTCCTATTCTCCAGAAGGGAATGTTGGCCAAAAAAATAGGTCAACAAGTATCTTGTAAAGCAGATTAAGTTCTGCAGCTTTCCAAGTCGAGGGCTGGAAGCCCAGGATTTCTTTTGGCTTTCTCATTTTGAGAACTTCCATGAGGAATTGGAGAGCTCTGTGCAGGATCCCCTCCTGTCAAGAAGGAACTTCCTGTTGATGTGATTAAACCTTGACCCCCTGTTGCCATAGCAAAGGCCCAAACCTTCTTCTTATCCCTCTCAGTTCTGTGTAATCTTTTCTTCACCTACTTCAGACAGAATTCTTAGAGACCTTCCTGGCATCTTTACTCTTTGGAATTCTGTGACTGCTCTCTTTTTGTACCCTAACAACTCCTAAGGGCTGCTTGCTCCTGTTTTTTCTCCCAGTGATGCAGTTACTGAGGATTTCTTGGGGGATCTTTTTGTTCTGGGGAGAACCTTGCAGCTCAATCATCTTCCCTCCATTGTCAGTCCCTGTCCTCTGTGACTGGGTGTTCTCTGATTGAACGGCCAGAGCTGCTGTGGGTGCTGCTCTCTACACTAAGTGCCCTGAGTGCAAGTTCCTGTGAAATTGCAGCATTCCTGATCCTGCTGGTGACAGCTGCTGGCTGCCAGGAAGCTGTCTTGGCCACTTAGTGCTCTGCAAGGCAGCTCTTTATGAAGGGAGGGGTTGTCTGTGCTGAAACTCTTGCCTGTGAGATCTTTGTGCTACTAAATTATAGAGAAGTCTGCATTTTAAGTGCACGTCGTAATTAATGTTCAGCAGAGGTTACTTGAGCTGAGCATTCACTACCTCTTTTCTGATCAACAAAGTGTATAGAATCCCAGACTGGTTTGGATGGGAAGGGAACTTAAAGATAATCCAGTCTCAACCCCCCCTGCATGGGCAGGGACACCTCCCACCAGCCCAGGCTGCTCCAAGCCCCATCCAACCTGCCCAAAACATCAGAAAAAACTTCTTTCCTGTGAGAGTGACAGAGCCCTGGGACAGGCTGCCCAGAGAGGCTCTGGAGACATTCAAATCCACCTGGACATGTTCTTGTGTGATGTGCTCTGGGTCACCCTGCTCTGGCAGGGGGGTTGGACTAGATGATCTTTCCAGGTCCCTTCCCACCCCTAAGATTCTGTGATTCTGTGCTTGCTGTGTTGAGTACCCACCTGTGCCTGCTGTCAGAAAGAACAAAAATCACCATTATTTTGATATAACTAGGCCAGAAAGTACTAGCACTGCTGGAAAGGGAGGATTCTGGCTTGGGTTTTCTCCCTGAAGTAGAGCATTTGTGAGTAGCAGCTCAGAAGTTTGAGAGTTCAAGTGTTAAATCTGTAATTGCTTTCACCACATGGTGGTCCTGGAGTGTGGGAATGGCAGGCAGATTCCTAGAAGGACTTAATTAAGCATTAAAAATGTTATTGGACAAGAAATGTGTTTGAGAACTGTTCTCAGTTGGTTAATCTTCTGTTTTGAACTTCATCTGCTTTTGCAGCCTTCAAGGGGACCAGGAAGTTCAGGTATCTTGCAGAGAAAAACAAACAAGCTGCATCTTCTAATGTCTGTTTCCAAGAGGCAGAGCAGCTTTTTAAGGTGTTCTTTTCAGCTCTTTCCACAGTCAACACTGATCCCTTTCAATTAGACCTACACTTCTCTTTGATCTTCTTCCATTCCTTCTTCCTATTCTCCAGAAGGGAATGTTGGCCAAAAAAATAGGTCAACAAGTATCTTGTAAAGCAGATTAAGTTCTGCAGCTTTCCAAGTCGAGGGCTGGAAGCCCAGGATTTCTTTTGGCTTTCTCATTTTGAGAACTTCCATGAGGAATTGGAGAGCTCTGTGCAGGATCCCCTCCTGTCAAGAAGGAACTTCCTGTTGATGTGATTAAACCTTGACCCCCTGTTGCCATAGCAAAGGCCCAAACCTTCTTCTTATCCCTCTCAGTTCTGTGTAATCTTTTCTTCACCTACTTCAGACAGAATTCTTAGAGACCTTCCTGGCATCTTTACTCTTTGGAATTCTGTGACTGCTCTCTTTTTGTACCCTAACAACTCCTAAGGGCTGCTTGCTCCTGTTTTTTCTCCCAGTGATGCAGTTACTGAGGATTTCTTGGGGGATCTTTTTGTTCTGGGGAGAACCTTGCAGCTCAATCATCTTCCCTCCATTGTCAGTCCCTGTCCTCTGTGACTGGGTGTTCTCTGATTGAACGGCCAGAGCTGCTGTGGGTGCTGCTCTCTACACTAAGTGCCCTGAGTGCAAGTTCCTGTGAAATTGCAGCATTCCTGATCCTGCTGGTGACAGCTGCTGGCTGCCAGGAAGCTGTCTTGGCCACTTAGTGCTCTGCAAGGCAGCTCTTTATGAAGGGAGGGGTTGTCTGAGCTGAAACTCTTGCCTGTGAGATCTTTGTGCTACTAAATTATAGAGAAGTCTGCATTTTAAGTGCACGTCGTAATTAATGTTCAGCAGAGGTTACTTGAGCTGAGCATTCACTACCTCTTTTCTGATCAACAAAGTGTATAGAATCCCAGACTGGTTTGGATGGGAAGGGAACTTAAAGATAATCCAGTCTCAACCCCCCCTGCATGGGCAGGGACACCTCCCACCAGCCCAGGCTGCTCCAAGCCCCATCCAACCTGCCCTTCAACACTGCCAGGGATGGGGCAGCCACAGCTTCCCTGGGCAACCTGGGCCAGGCTCTCACCACCCTCACAACCAAGAATTTCCTCCTCATGTCTCACCTAAATCTCCCCTTTTTTTGCAAAGCTTGCAGATGTCATAATTTCTTCCAAGTCCAAGCTCAGGGAGGTTTTATCCCTTTTTTTAAGGTGAATCTGAAGAACTAAGTGGTCACAGCCAGACACACAAAATCATTGAGATACCTGGCTGTGTATCACTGAAATCACTGGGATACCAGTGTTCTTACTGGCACTGGAATGGTTTCATGGATTTGGGCCCATAGGATGTGATCTAAGGAATGGAGTATGTCAGTGAGAGTTGGGAACATACTCAAGGGTTCCCAAATCCTTGTCTGTTGGCCAAGCAGTCAGTCTTGGTGTTTTCAACACAAGGGAAGGACATGGAGGTGCTGGAGAAGGTGCAGAGAAGGGCAGCTAGGCTGATTTGGGGTCTGGAAAATTGGTCTGATGAGGAGAGGCTGTGGGAGCTGGGGCTGTTCAGCCTGGAGAAGAGGAGGCTGAGGGGAGACCTCATTGCTCTCTACAACTGCCTGAGAGGAGGTTGTGGTAAAGTGGGTGTTGTTGGGCTCTTCTCCCAAGTGACCAGCGATAGGACAAGAGGAAATGGGTCAGGTTGCTCCAGGGGAGGTTCAGGCTGGATATTAGGAAAAATTTCTTCCTAGAAAGAGTGGTGAGGCCTTGGAAGAGGCCCAGGAAGGTGGTGGAGGCACCATCCCTGGAGGTGTTCAATAAACAGGTGGATGTGGTGCTGAGGGAGATGGTTTGGGGGTTTTAGGGCGGGTGGTTGGACTTGATGATCTTGAAGGTCTTCACCAACCTTGATGATTTTAAGTAGACAAGCCCTCCTTTTGAAGCTGTGGGAGTGGGTAGTTAAATTCTTGCAGATTAACTGAACTTGTCTTGGGTTTCAGTGCAATAAGAAGGCAAAACGTTCTGACATCGTGGTTCTCTACGCTCGTACCCTGAAAGCTCTGGACACCAGTGAACAGGAACGCATGAAAAGGTACAGAGGCTCCATGAGAAGATACCACTGCAGCCTGGCTTTGCCTTTAAAAAAATAGGTCAACAAGTATCTTGTAAAGCAGATTAAGTTCTGCAGCTTTCCAAGTCGAGGGCTGGAAGCCCAGGATTTCTTTTGGCTTTCTCATTTTGAGAACTTCCATGAGGAATTGGAGAGCTCTGTGCAGGATCCCCTCCTGTCAAGAAGGAACTTCCTGTTGATGTGATTAAACCTTGACCCCCTGTTGCCATAGCAAAGGCCCAAACCTTCTTCTTATCCCTCTCAGTTCTGTGTAATCTTTTCTTCACCTACTTCAGACAGAATTCTTAGAGACCTTCCTGGCATCTTTACTCTTTGGAATTCTGTGACTGCTCTCTTTTTGTACCCTAACAACTCCTAAGGGCTGCTTGCTCCTGTTTTTTCTCCCAGTGATGCAGTTACTGAGGATTTCTTGGGGGATCTTTTTGTTCTGGGGAGAACCTTGCAGCTCAATCATCTTCCCTCCATTGTCAGTCCCTGTCCTCTGTGACTGGGTGTTCTCTGATTGAACGGCCAGAGCTGCTGTGGGTGCTGCTCTCTACACTAAGTGCCCTGAGTGCAAGTTCCTGTGAAATTGCAGCATTCCTGATCCTGCTGGTGACAGCTGCTGGCTGCCAGGAAGCTGTCTTGGCCACTTAGTGCTCTGCAAGGCAGCTCTTTATGAAGGGAGGGGTTGTCTGAGCTGAAACTCTTGCCTGTGAGATCTTTGTGCTACTAAATTATAGAGAAGTCTGCATTTTAAGTGCACGTCGTAATTAATGTTCAGCAGAGGTTACTTGAGCTGAGCATTCACTACCTCTTTTCTGATCAACAAAGTGTATAGAATCCCAGACTGGTTTGGATGGGAAGGGAACTTAAAGATAATCCAGTCTCAACCCCCCCTGCATGGGCAGGGACACCTCCCACCAGCCCAGGCTGCTCCAAGCCCCATCCAACCTGCCCAACAACACTGCCAGGGATGGGGCAGCCACAGCTTCCCCGGGCAACCTGGGCCAGGCTCTCACCACCCTCACAACCAAGAATTTCCTCCTCATGTCTCACCTAAATCTCCCCTTTTTTTGCAAAGCTTGCAGATGTCATAATTTCTTCCAAGTCCAAGCTCAGGGAGGTTTTATCCCTTTTTTTAAGGTGAATCTGAAGAACTAAGTGGTCACAGCCAGACACACAAAATCATTGAGATACCTGGCTGTGTATCACTGAAATCACTGGGATACCAGTGTTCTTACTGGCACTGGAATGGTTTCATGGATTTGGGCCCATAGGATGTGATCTAAGGAATGGAGTATGTCAGTGAGAGTTGGGAACATACTCAAGGGTTCCCAAATCCTTGTCTGTTGGCCAAGCAGTCAGTCTTGGTGTTTTCAACACAAGGGAAGGACATGGAGGTGCTGGAGAAGGTGCAGAGAAGGGCAGCTAGGCTGATTTGGGGTCTGGAAAATTGGTCTGATGAGGAGAGGCTGTGGGAGCTGGGGCTGTTCAGCCTGGAGAAGAGGAGGCTGAGGGGAGACCTCATTGCTCTCTACAACTGCCTGAGAGGAGGTTGTGGTAAAGTGGGTGTTGTTGGGCTCTTCTCCCAAGTGACCAGCGATAGGACAAGAGGAAATGGGTCAGGTTGCTCCAGGGGAGGTTCAGGCTGGATATTAGGAAAAATTTCTTCCTAGAAAGAGTGGTGAGGCCTTGGAAGAGGCCCAGGAAGGTGGTGGAGGCACCATCCCTGGAGGTGTTCAATAAACAGGTGGATGTGGTGCTGAGGGAGATGGTTTGGGGGTTTTAGGGCGGGTGGTTGGACTTGATGATCTTGAAGGTCTTCACCAACCTTGATGATTTTAAGTAGACAAGCCCTCCTTTTGAAGCTGTGGGAGTGGGTAGTTAAATTCTTGCAGATTAACTGAACTTGTCTTGGGTTTCAGTGCAATAAGAAGGCAAAACGTTCTGACATCGTGGTTCTCTACGCTCGTACCCTGAAAGCTCTGGACACCAGTGAACAGGAACGCATGAAAAGGTACAGAGGCTCCATGAGAAGATACCACTGCAGCCTGGCTTTGCCTTTGTGTTTTAATTTCCTGGGTTGTCTAAAGCAATTCCAGCATTCCCTGGGGTGTTGCCATGGGTGTGGCTGGCTTAGCACAGCCTGGCTGGGTTGCACGTGTCTCACCTGGAAGGAGAAGTTTCTTTTGGAAATGGAATTCTTGAGTTTTCTCACTGAAACAACGAGCATCTTGTGCTGTGGCCTGAAATGTCAGCATGGGGGGACATGCAGAGTTGGTGCCAAAAAGCTGTAGATCACTAATTCTTCATGAAATGGGAAGAGGGAGGTGTAGTTAGAAATGCAGGGGGGTGAGTAGCTGACCTTTCCTGCCATCTTTTCTGCATGCATTAAACAGAGTAATCTCTTGTGTGAATCACTTTCTGTCTTGCTTTGTCAGACTCTTCATGTAGCTTTGCTTACAAAAGGTCAGCAAGCATTACTACCCCTCCAACTGAAATGGAGACTTTTTATTGAAAGAAAGGAAAAACAGGTGTGAAAATGGGGAGTAATTTCTCTTCAGTAAGATGCTGTCATAGATACTAGTCTGAAATTAAAAGGCTGTGGGCATCTGAGTTCTCCTGAATCTTGTAGTTAATAGAATTTAATTGAGGTCTTCACATATCTCTGACTATGCTGCTGTTCTTTCAATGCAATCTTCCAAAGAAACCTCACTATCCTGGTAATTATTAATCAGAAATTATTAAGGTGTAACTGTCATGAAGGGAAAATATCTCTTCTGTCTGGACTGTCACTGCCTGGTGGTGTTTGAGTTATACCTTTAGAAGGGCAGCCACAGCTTCCCTGGGCAACCTGGGCCAGTGTCTCAAATGATTCTTCTGCAGGAAAAAAGAAATTATGTGAGGATACTGTAAAGGAATGGAAGAATTCAGTGCTTGGTGAGCATGCAAGGCTAGGGCTGTGTATTTAGGAGGTACTTAGCCAAGCTAGAGCATAAGAAGGACATGGAACTGTTTGAGATGATCCAAGGGCTGGAGCAGCTCTGCTCTGGAGGCAGGCTGGGAGAGTTGGGGTGTTCAGCCTGGAGAAGAGAAGGCTCCAGGGAGACCTTAGAGCCCCTTCCAGTGCCTGAAGGGGCTCCAGGAAAGCTGGGGAGGGACTTGGGACAAGGGCAGGGAGGGAGAGGACAAGGGGGAAGGGATTAAAACTGGGAGAGGGAGATTGAGGTGAGACATGAGGAGGAAATTGTTTGGTGTGAGGGTGGTGAGAGCCTGGCCCAGGTTGCCGAGGGAAGCTGTGGCTGCCCCATCCCCGACAGTGTTGAAGGGCAGGGTGGATGGGGCTTGGAGTAGCCTGGTCTGGGGGGAGGTGTCCCTGCCTATGCAGAGCAGGGGGTTGGGGATGGATGATCTTGAAGGTCCCTTCCAACCCAAACCAGTCTGGAGGTCTACAAATAGGATTTGTGTTGGGGTGAAGTCTGGGGATAGGAGTCAAGAAGCTAGAGAAGGATCCTAGGGAGTTCCTAGGCTAAGCTGTGCTTTCCTGTCCTCCCTGCAGCTGTCTGGAAAAGGAGCAGATGCTGAGGAGACAAGCAGAGCTGGAGTCTGCCCAGAGCCGTCTCCAGCTGCAGGTTTTGACGGATGAATGCAGCAAACTGCGCAGGCAAGTTCAGGTGAGTCTCACCACTCACTGGGGGTTCCCTTGCTCTTCAACCTGTCTTTTGCATGGTCCTTTAGAGGACAGAAGACAGGCTTCCAGTTTCCATAAGCAGCAAGGTTTAGTAAACTCCACTGGTGAATCAGCAGGAGTGTCCTAAACATCCCTGGTGTATTAATGTTTACTACATAACACTGACCTTGTTTTTTTCTGTCTAAGACTCCAAAGTTGCAAGTACAGCTCAGCAGCAGAGGGTTTTTTGGCTGCTGATGTTGCAGGTTGCTCCTCGGGTGGTGCCTGGCAAGGCCTGGTCATACAGCACCAAACTTATTCTCTTCATCTTTCCCTTAACTCCATCAAGAGATTGGAAAATGTCAATAGTAAACCTGTAGTGGGACTTGGTCTCACTAGTTAGTCAGGAACCTTTCAGAAGTGGTTGGTGAAGAGGCATGGCTGTTCGCAAAAACCAAAGAAAACCACCAAAACCCACCTAATTTTTTTGTGAAGGTCAGTCAGCCTTCTACCCAAGCACATTGTGGAGAGCCACGAGATCTGTCAGGAGGAACAGGGTGTGTGCATGGGTGGGACAGCTGCTGAGGGGCACCTCTGTCCCCTAAACTGCTGAGAGGTTGCTAAATGGCTCCTGCAGCACTGTGGTATCTTGTAACCCCTCACAGCTGCTTTTGCAGGATTCCTATAAATTGTGGACTTTGGTGCTTCCAACTGTGAATGATCTGCCTTGGGCCACTGGTGTTAGGTTTTCCAATAGCCTGTTTCACAGCCAGTTTGTGCTACTTTTTGGTGTTGTGTGAATTAAATGATATTTAATCTCTCGCTGTCTCGTAACTCAATTTCATATTTCTGGACTTTTTTAGAGCCTTGGCTATTCATGTCTGTACATTAAGCAACATCCTCTTAGGTGAAGTCTTCCTGTGTGATGTAAGATAAGGCTGTATAAATTGCTTGCCTAAATTCCTGCATGAAGCTGATCAGAGCTAATAAGAAAATTGGTCCACTTGAACATTTGGCTTAAAAGAAAATGTATATTAAGATAAAAGTGCAGGTTGATAACATCATCCTGCAGTTCTCTTGGTATTAAATGGTAGAGGGTTCAGTCTAATTGAAGTCATGTGTTATAAAGATTAAGTGCTCTGTGTTCTCTAAGCTGTGTTTCAGTATTTAAACTGCATTCATCACTGTCCTGTAGTGGTCCATGTGAATGCTGCAAGCACTTTTAAGGTGCTTGTTTATACTGTG